CTCCCTCCCTCGCTCCCTCGCTCCCTCGCTCCCTCCCTCGCTCCCTCCCTCCCTCCCTCCCTCGCTCTCTCTCTCTCTCTCTCTCTCTCTCTCTCTCTCTCTCTTTCTTTCTCTCGTTTCCGTCAGTCTAACATATCTGTGCCAATCCGGGCGACACTGTTGTGATAGTGGTTCCTGGAAGGATCTCTGCGACCGACGCTGTCCGGCTGTGGCCCAAGCTCCTCCACAACGAAGAGCAAACATGGGTCAACTCAGATGACGTCATCGCTCTGCTGACGCTGTGCCGCTTGGCGCAGCAATCCAGTCAGTGACCATGTGTGTTTATGATATGCACACTGTCGCGAGCGCAGTATTTTCAGACCAGCACAAGCATAGAACTCTGACTACAAGTATTCGCGCGAATTGGGCCCTTTCTCTACGCTACTGAGTCACTACTGGTCTGATTTTTGCAAACAGGGCTGTTTCGGAAACTTCGATCGACAACGGGGCCAGTCTTGACTCGAAAAAGAATGGCCACTATTCCGCTGATGTGTTGTAAGTTGTTCCGAGATCACCATTGCTATATGTATGCTTTGCGCATTGTTGCTACGATTGCACTGGCCCATGTGTTTAGTATCGAGAGTTCTGTTGGGACAGCAAAGTAAACGTACAAATCGTTGTTCTTTAGGTGTCTCTGGCTCCTAGTGAGTTATTTGAGGATATGTCTCTGTGTGTATGGTCAATCGTTAGAGGATCTTGTTTTGGGTTCTTCTCCTGGTTTCAGGAGTTTGCCTAAGTCGAAGCAGGTTGCCAGTTATGGTCTGCGGTTCGCTTGAAGCCCGAAGCTCGAATTCTTTGCTCGGTGTTGCATTCTGCGTTGGAGCTTTCGGGCCTGGGCTCGTTGCACGACTCTTCGACGGCCGAGAAGTGCATTGCTCAGGCCCTCCTGCCCCAAAAAATAGGTTTTCCCTGTTGTCGGGTGCTCCTCTTGAAATGCTCTTGGAGTACTTCGGGAATCCCTAGTGGAAGTTTGGAGATGTCGCGCTTGCTATGGCTTTATGGTCACTCGCGCCTAGTCGGCCTAATCCATCCATCGCCATCAAGTGCTAGATGGAATCACGTAACTGCTCCAGCGGCATGGAGAAGTTTCAAGCCATTGGGCCGTGGACATCGCAGGGCTGTCAACACGGCATCGCGGAGGGCCGACCGAACGATGACGAGCGAAGTTCCCGCTTCTGGCATTGAAGAGTGGACAGTGAATCCCGCACTTCCATTGCATGGGCCTGGGGCTTCAACCCGCCTTTGAGAGGAAGTCGCACACAGTTCCCGACAAGCCACTCCCCAAAGCCTATGTCCACATCGAGCGCCCTCGAAAGTCTCTGCGCACATCACACGACTTCGAAGGGCGATGATCGCAATGGGGAGTGCGCACAGCTGTGCAGCAGAAGCCCATGCTCTGGATCAAAGCAAAAACAATTAGCAAACGACGCAACTGCATTTGTGCAGCATGATCACACGTTGCATGGAAGGGATGTCAGGAAGCCGAAGTCCGACTGACAGAGCCCGTCTCTTGTGAGACACTGCTACGATGCATGGTTCGTCACAGAGCCAGGAAAAGCATCCGACACAAAACGATTCGATGTAGCAATGTAGCAGATCCCACTGCGGGCATAGACTTTGACCATACTCTTACTACTGTGCATACTTACTATTGATTATTGGAAGACGAGTCACATGTTGGTAAGGAGATCCAAAGGGTTCTGGACCGATCCGCACCAGCAAAAGCCATGCCCTGGGCAAGGAAGTAGCCTAGGCGACCACACCCCCAAAATTCAGCCTCCATCCAATGAGGGCATGCGCCGAGGCGCCGAGTTCCATGTTCAAAAATTGCAGGAGAGCATTGCGTTTACAGAAGTTGATACCATGATTCCTGTTCTCAATAGCATCACTGTGCACTGAGAGACTCTGAACGCCTTCTTGTCGGGGTCAGGCGAGACAAACGGCCTCGAGCTGCCAAAGTTGTCGCAGGCATGTTGCGTGTTTTTCCTTTGAGGTTTAGGATGGAGATCTGATGTTGGGATGCCTTTTAGTGGTGCAGCCCAAATAACCGAAGGCGGCTCCACTTCAAGAACGCATCAGCTTGAGTTTCACTTCCTGGCACAAGACACGTCGACACCCTCCATTTCTATCCCAATTCTCGAACCCACATATGTTCCGCCGCCAGGCGGTTTGCAAGTCGATGCGCGACCCTGCCACACAAGCTCTGGCAAAGTCGCAGCTCCCGGAGGTGGGTGGTAGCAATCCCAGGTATCGGATGCTGTCCAGAGTTTAGGACTTCTGATGACACGTTGCACCTGTATTCGGTATTCTCTTGAAGCAGTTGCGACTATCACAAGATTCTTGGGCCTTCGTGCATTTTGCCGGAGGCCCGTTTGGCGGCCATCCACGTTCTTCGGGAGCAGCACAAGAGCGGTGCCCTACCTGCCGGCATCAACACGCTCTGCTATGATCCGGTCCACGTTGTCCGGGCAGCTGCAAGAGATCAGTGGGTGGCATTGGGAGGCAAGGAGGGCTAGAGATGTGACGGTGTGTCCTTCGGTTGGTCACCTGCAGTTTTGCGGCTTTGAGAATTCCGGACGCAAGGCAAAGATGAAGGATGGAGGAAAAAGAAGACTGACGAAGAGAAAGAAGTTGAGGAGGACGATGAGTGAGCCTCCAAGGGTTTTTGCTGAAGGGCACGGGGGACAGGGTACGCCGTCAGTTGAAATTTATTTGGAAGAGGGAAGAGAAACTAACTATCAAGTCTGACTGACAGATGGCGAGCTTACCTGTGCCTGCAGCTGTTTCTTCTTGCTAGTGCTAGCATCCGGTCCAGGCCCTAGCTCTTGCAGAAGAGTATTATTTTATGTCATGATTTTCGCGAGGTCCTTTCTGACCGGTTGCCATCGCTTTGCATGTTTGCTCGGCGTTTGTCGGTCCCAGGAGTTGTGAACTGTTGAAACGGAACCGCACGAATCAGCTGGCTGACGTGTACAGAGTGCAACGCTTAGCGTGCAAAAACAGGTTACCTCCAGACACGGACCAAAGAGATGCGCTGAGCGTGCGGAAGCCACATCAACTTCCCACAGGCTCAGACGCAAATGCCAGCTCCAACAGCCATTGCGCGCTGTCTCTCAGCAGGTATGTCACCCGTAGGCCTTAGGCTGGGCAGCTGCACGATGGTGGCCAGCCCTTAGCGGGAGCTGGCACATGTCGTCTTCGCAGGACGCTCGTGGGCTTCCGTTCCTAGGTGCTGGGTTTTAGGATGGTTGTGCTTTTGGTAGCAAGTATTCTGAAGAGCAGGAGCACATGCTGTGGTCAATGCAGGTGCACTAGATGACGCATGGCCAGTTCCTGCTCGTTTGGGGACTTCATCAGACTCCAGTATATGCGCGCACATGCAGAACTTTCCGTAGCGTCTCCTTGGAATGAACTTGCCGAGTTGATATCAAACGTGGGGATTGAGAGAGGCCAATTAAGGGACCTGATATCGAAACCCCAAAATTAGTAGGATCCTTAATACACATACCCCAAGTCCAGAGCAACCGCTTTTCGGACGAATGTTTCGGCGGCGTCGTTGCTTCGCTTCTGAGTGACTCTGAGTAGTAAATAAAGAACCTTTGACAGCAGGATTTTTGTGACGTGCTGTGGGTGCTTCTTCCGAACTGGCAGTTCCATGAACTACATGTCCTTGTTCGTTGCAGTTCGCTTTGCCCTATCCCAATCAGAGATTTGCAGTGCTTGGTATGGCGGCTTTCGAAGCGGCACCCCAGCTCCCACGTAAGCAGAAGCCATGTAGTTTCTCAGCTCCTGGGTCAGGAGCTTGCGAGACAGATATCAGGCGATGCTGTGGATTGCCAACAGAGTGATGCGCGGATTGTGGGTGAAGGGAAGCTATTTTAGTAACAAAACTTAATTAACGATGACATGTAGTAATTATTATAAATAATACTATCAGTTTGTTGCTACGCTATTACTATTGTTATCATTAATGGTCCCTACCACTGCCACTGCCATTGCCACTACCTCTGCCCCGAAGACGAAGACCACGACTACCACGACGAAGTAGAAGTAGCAATAGCAGCGGCAGCAATAGCAGTAGGAGTAGGAGTCGCAGTAGCCGAGGTAGTAGTAGTCGTCGTCGTAGCAATAGCGGAATCAGTCGCAATACTAGTAGCGGTGGTCGTGGTCGTAATCGTCGTCGTATTCGTCGTCGTCGTCGTCGCAGTCGTCGTCGTAGTAGTAGAAGTAGTAGTTGTAGTAGTAGTCGTCGTCGTCGTGGTAGTGGTAGTGGCAGCAGTAGCAGTAGCAGTAGCAGTAGCAGTAGTAGTAGTCGTCGCCGTAGAAGAAGTAGTAGTAGTAGTCGTCGTCGTCGTCGTAGAAGTAGTAGTAGTAGTAGTAGTAGTAGCAGTAGTACTAGTACTAGTACTAGTAGCCCCCCCCTACCAACTACCTCTGCTGCCAACCCTCTTATTAAGAGTATGTTCGTTTTACTCGGTATTTACGGTACGTTCGTCCTGTCACACCACTTCTTCTTGCCTCAAAATCCACTCCGCGACTTTGATAAATTCGGCTTCGGA